AGTACTGACTTACATAGGGAGGAGGATCAACGTTTGGGGTTCTCACCTCAATCACCTTCGCAACACACCCGTCCCCCCCAATCACCCACACGGCATGGGCGATGCTCACCGAGCTCAGGTCACCCATCATTCCAGACCTGGCCGCCTACTTCCTCTCAAACGTCCCTTCCCTCGAGAAGGCGGGCCTCGCAGGCTACGCCCTGATCAATTCGCACATGCCGAACCCTGTCAGCTCCCCGGGCCTCCCGCCGAACGCGGCGGGCGTCATTGGCATATCCCTGATGCAGGATGACACGGACCGGGAAGAAGTTGACAGGATCTGGACGTCAATCAACCAGACCGTCATGGAACGCTGGCCCAATGTCACCTTTGCCAAGATTACCGCCGAGTACCCGTCCTGGCTTGACTTTTATGATAATAATTATGACATGAACAAGGGCGGTATCAACAAACTGCTGGCTTCCCGTTTGCTGGATGAGGAGGCTTTGACGGAGGATTTGGAGGTTTTGGCTGGTGCAGTGAAGACGGCGACTGATAATGTGGGCGGCATGTATGCGTTTTTGGTATCCGGAAAGGGTGTGCACAAGGCGAAGCCCAGGGGCGGAGGTGATGCGGTTCACCCGGCATGGAGGACTGCCTACATCCATGCCAGTAAGTTATGTTCATTACTGTAAGAGGAGATGCCCGAGCTAATCATTGTTTTCCATAGTCACTGCCGTTGGATGGACTTCGTTCAATGAGACATCAAAGAGTGAGGCCGAGAAGAGTATCTACGACTCAGTCGAGGGCTTCCGACAGTTGACGCCTGGTGGAGGTTCCTACTTGAATGAAGTAAGTCAAGCATAACGTTTGAAACGAGTACGTTTGGGATTCTCATTAATGTGTCACAGGGTCTGTCATATGAGGAAGACTGGCAACATACCTTCTGGGGCACCAACTATGAGCGCCTTCTCAAGATCAAGAAGACCGTCGATCCAGACGACGTTTTCTGGTGCCAGCCCTGTGTTGGAAATGAGGGATGGAAGCAGAGGAGTGACGGGCAGCTTTGCAGAGTCTAGGCTGGTACATTAAAGGCTCTAATTGTCGAAACATTGTGGCTTCTAAGCTAGAAGTAAGACTGGATTATGTCACTCAAAGTAAACCAATTCAATGGGTGTCATGAAAATGGCAATGAGATCACATTATAATTCAGATCAAAGTCTACTTGGACTCTAAGGTCGTGCCTCACGACTTTCTAGTCGGGTTCATAGCCTTCACCCAAGGCTTCCAGATATCCTCAATGGTCTCGGGAGAGTTCCAACCGTTCCACTCATAGTTGGTCAAACCCCAAGTATCGGGCACACCTTGCGCGCCGGAGCGCACACGGTAGCTACCGGCAAGACCCCAGACCATCCAGCTGACGTTGTGCTTGACGGTGTACTCCCTCAGACACACCTGAAGGGTATCGTTGCGAAGCGTGTCGTCCTGGCCGTTGCCAAATTCCGAGAAGATGACAGGCGTCAACCGGCTCGCCTTGGGGCAGTCATTCGTAACGTTGCAAGCCGCAGGCTTGTCAATACCCAACGCGTTGAAGCCGTTGCGGTAGAGACCCGCTTCGATAATGGGGCACGATCCCGTGTCGACATCCTCGCTCATCTTGTACAGGTGCAGCTCCCAGACGAGCTTGTCCGCCCAGGCGTGGCTGTCGAGATCAAACACCTTTGGCTCGCGGCGGGCGGCGTCGCGGATGGCGGTGCACTTGTAGCACGGCGCCGTGAGGTAGTTCTTGCCCGAGGTGAGGGCAGACAGGTCCTGGCCGTACTGCATGCCGCCCCAGAGGATGAGGACGTCCGGGTTGGCCTCGTGGATGGCGTCGGCGCCGGCGGAGAAGTTGCCGACGAGGGTGTCCCAGTTGTAGTACAGATTCGTCACGTTCCACGACTCGCGGACCTCGTTGCGGAGGGAGAGGGAGACGATGTTGGGGTGGGACTTTGCCCAGTTGGCGACGTAGGAGAGGCCGCGGCGCCAGTGGGTGGTGTTGAAGTTGACGTCGTCGAACCAGGCGTTGCCGTCCGTGTGGGAGCAGCACCACTGGGCCTTGCCGACGTGCACGTCGGGGGAGATGAAGATGCCGCGCTCGTAGGCGGCCTCGACGATGGCGGACCAGATTTCGAAGCGGGTCGTCTCGCGGGTCCAGGTCGGGTTGTTGCGGATGATCTCGTTGGTGACCTTTGTGCCGTTGACGAAGCCTAGGGCCGTGATCATGGCGACTTCGAGGGGAACGTCCTCGCCGGCGCGGTCGTAGATTTGGTCGACCATCTCAATGGCGTAGCCCCTGGGAAGATCGTGAGTTGGGGTTCGTTCAAGGTGTGCGATGGATCACACACGTGCGAGACTGATGAGGACTTACATGCGGATGTAGTTGAAGCCAACGCTCTCGACATCATCGAGAATCTGATCAACTGAGGCCCATTCCAGACCCTCAGGAACCATAGTCTCTCCTTCATGGTTTGTTAGTCAGGTGCTCTTGTAAAGTCTTCACTAGATGTTGAACGTACCACTCATCGGCCAATTAACACCAGCCCAAGTCACGACCTCACCGCGGGCATTGACGATGTCACGTCCGCGAGTGCTGAAGGGAGCGTAGGGCCATGAGTTGCTAGTCTGGTTGCCGGCCTGTCTCGGGACGGCCTTGTGAGAGACATAGCGAGGCGAGGCGGGAGTCTTCATGTACTGCGCGCATGTCGACGACACAAGCGCCGCAAAGGCGATGGCAAGACCCTTCATTGCGGTAATAGAGACTCGCGTAAAGATCTACGTGAGAAGCAAAGCTGCAATGAGAGAGAAGAAGGTCACACTGGCGAAGAAGAGGAGGACGGTCTCTCTCTTAAAAGGACGTAACATCCATCGGAGATGCTGGCTGGGGGCATCTATGGATGGCCCGGAAGTTGGAACCATTGGGCAATGGCTTTGTTCGGCTCCGCATCCCCCGCACCGTTATTTTCCTCGTGTTTAATGAGCATCGTCATTAGACCCCGATTCGATCGTGGACCAACATCGGCTTCCAAGCTACGTTTGGGTTGGTGCTGGGCGAAGGGGCGGTGGGCTTTTTACCGAAGCTATTTCAACCAAGGTTTGGGGCCGGTCAAGGCCAGGATTCCCCCCATGGAAATATCTTCCCCGAGGTGCTCCAGGTGACGGCATTGGGCCGCTTGAACTGGTGGAGTCTTGGAGAAAGCTCTAGGCATGGGTTTACCCCGCATTCGATCATGGGGGATGGTGGAGATGGGGAAGAAGCAAACAACTTAGATTCTTAGAAAACCTTGAGAAGTGACTTTATTTTGTTTTTGCCGGCAAACGGTGGCCCGGGGGCGGGGGATGCTGTTCGGAGCCGGGCCGAAAATGGTGGTCTGCCGAGACTAGATGATGTCGTCTGATCTTCCACTATTCTATCCACGAGCCAAACATAAGGCAACTATGTTTACCTGTCTTGCGTACTTCTACGAATTTGAATCACTGGGTAGTAGCCAAGTACTCAAAAATGGATCATAAGCCCAAAGCTGAAGGTTGAACGACGTGTTGCCGTTGCATCTGAGTTTCACCTGTATTTGAGATCTAGCTGCTGAACCAGAGAAAAAACGACAGCCAAACTTTCTGAGCATCTCACGAAAGAAATTGACATGAGACACTCAAGCGGAATAGGGAAAGTTTGTGTATGCTGTATTTACGAATGCTTGGTTATCGCCTCATCCGTGAAATGGAAAGGAAACACAAGTTTGCCTTGTGTACGAGACAAGGCAACCTACCTTGCCACGCAACGTCGTTTGCGATATCTTAACTGGTCTTAGTAATTGCGTAGCTTGCGTAAGTCAAGTGGCTGGTGCTAGGTGATGTGATGCAAGGGGGCGATCGAGGTGAACACTGAAATGGTGAGATCTCGAAGTCTAAGACCTCGAAGCCTGAGACCTCAACATTCGTAAGTATATAAGGCAGGCCAACCTGATGGACGACATTATACGGGAAAACGGCTAGGAAGAAGCAGTTATAAGACTGCAGCCCTTGTCGATGTCTCATCTCATATGTCGTTATAACGTATACAGCGCCTTGATGCAACGAAAAGATGTCATCAGCTCAGATTCCATCTCGAGATGGTTCGGCGGAAGATCTTTCGGTACCACAGACACAGTCCGTCGATGTTTCACTTAACTCTTCCTGTCAAGCTTCTTCCCCGTCACAAGATACAAGCCGAGCCCCCAGCCGCGGGCAATCTCCCGAGCCCGGACAGGAGCCGAGAGAAGCGGCTCCCCTATATAGTCTGGTAGCCAACTCGGAGTCAAGGTCAACTCAAGACACTACGCCAGCCTCAAGGGACACATGCGCCAAGCCGAAACCCATCGATCAATGGACTACCCGGCTCTTCCCAGCTGGCGAGTATCACTGGACACTAGAACTGTGGGCAATCGCTCTCAGTATCGTATCATTTGCCGCAATCCTTATCCTTCTTCCCCTCTACGAAGACAAGCCTTTATCATCCTGGACCTTTTCAATATCGCTCAATACTGTCATATCCACTCTCGGAGCAACGTCCCGAGCTTCATTAGGCTTCGCTATTAGTGCTTGTATCAGCCAGGGAAAGTGGAACTGGTACCGAAAAAGGGATGACCATGTGATGGTCTTTGACCGGTTCGAAGAAGCCAGCCGCGGGCCCTGGGGAAGTGTTCGCTTGTTGTGGTGGACCAGATTCAGGTACGAACGATGCTACTTTTTGTGGTGTTTCTTAGCTCATGGAACTCTTTAGACATTGGATCGCTATTGGAGCCCTCTCGGCAGTCATATTAGTAGGTTTCGAGCCATTCCTGCAAGCTGTCATCAGCTTCTCGGGAGAAGAAATCAGCTATGCAACTCCATCAGTGACAAGCGCGATTGGAAAAGCTGAAAGGCTGGACGCAGGTGTCTTTGCGGCATTTGACCGATGGACTCCGAAAGACTATAAAATGCCAGAGCCTTGGGGTAACTTCACTATGACTTCTATGAGATCTGAAAACGACTTTGGTGCAATGGCAGCGGTACTGGGAGGCTTCTCTGAACTCAGCTCAACCGAGAGTACAAAACCCGACTTCGAGTGTTCAACTGGCAATTGTACCTGGGACCCCTTCGCATCGCTCGCTGTATGTAGTACTTGCAAAGACATCTCAGCTGCGATGGAGAAGTCCAACGGACGAGCAACGATAAACGACGAACTTATCACCCTGCCAGACCGCCTGGAATTCCCCGACAAGAAACTCCGCACATACACCAGGCTCGAGATACCAACCTTGGATCTGAGTATATCAAATTTCAATGGGATCAAAGCCGATGGAAATGAAATTGACATTGGATTCGGAAACGCCGAAGTTACTGCGCGGTCGAATTACAACCCTGGGCGGACATTGTCGTTTGAACATCTAGAGTCTATGATCTTTTCCGTCGCTGTCATGTCAGCCAGCCAGGACTATCGCAAGCGGAAGCAAGCTTGGGAAGACACGGATATCACCGCCACAGAATGCGCCCTGCATTTATGCACCAATGTCTACCAGTCCGTCGTTGAACAAAACGTGCTCAAGGAGAAGGTTCTCAGTTCCCGCTCTACAAGAAACCCGGACTCTTTCTTATCAAACTGGTTGACGAACAACTTGGCTGCGACGAAATATTTCAACACATTTATCAACCATTCACTCTACATCGGCTTCTCTGATGCACCCCGTTCAGATCTACAACTTGTGATTTCCCGGGAGGAGTACTACGCCGACACTGGCTTGATAATAGACGACGATTTACAGTTCAACATCTCACACAACACCGTTGGAAGCCTCATAGACTGGCTGGCAGTGAGATTATCGGGTCACAGCGACTCCGCATCTTTGGACAAGCCCGGAATGCCAACGCTGCTCAAATACCCCTTACCTCTTTGCATGCGCACCAGCAACACGCCAACCGAGATCATCAGTAGCCTGGCAGCTTCGCAGAACATCTCAAGAACATTCGAAATGGTCGCTGCCAGCCTGACGAAATGGATCCGAAACCGTTCTCTCGAAAGTAGCCCGCATCACGGAATAACAAAGCAATGGGTGATCAAGATCAGGGTGAACTGGGCATTCTTGTCACTGCCCATGGGCTCCTTATTAGGAGGTTGCATCTTCTGCCTGCTTTCGATACGGGAGACGCGAAAACTGAGCCTTCCAGCTTGGAGGGGGAGCTCGCTAGCGACGCTAGCCCACGGCCTCGATGTGGAGTCTAGGGCATTCTTGAGGGAGGCAAGCGACAGCTCTCGTATCGCTGCCCAGGCTCGAACTCTGGAGGTCAAGTTTGCCGACTCTGAAGGTGGACCGGAGCTGGTTCGTGGAGCCAAGACTAGCAGGCCTGCTCATGATTCTGCTTGAGGTGCCTAGATAGAGACATGTTAATTGCGTGAGAGTTTCAAGGCCGTCAGACAACTGCCAGAGGACAACCGACCAACCCCCCCAAATCATTTATACAAGACGTAGAAGTTGAGAAAAGTATTGCGCGAAACCATACACTCAATAATGCATTTTTTTGCTATTAAAATAGACACGTCATGTATTCGCTTAAATCATGTAGCGCCTCTAATCACAAGCAGCTCTCACTTAGTCAAGCTCTTCTCCGGATTCTTCTCATACCGGTTACACCATTTCCGCCACTCCTTTGCAGCCTTGTGCATCACGACCCTCAAATCCTCCTTCACATCGTTCACCTCCCAAGCCTCATCTTCCCAGTTCTTCTGGCCGCGGGTCATGGCAGGGGACCAACCAATAGCTTCCAAGCATTCCCTGATTTCATGTGTTAGCTTTACTTTGGCCGACAGACTGAGATAGGTGAGTTGAAGAGGGGGAGGAAGAACTTACACTTCTGTGGGCGAAGAGGTGTATCTGGGAAACAGTCTCGAGTCGACACGATGACACTCGGCTTCAAGATACCGCGTCAACACGTCGATGCGGTTCGCCGGCTTGAAGCTCAGCTGGAGCTTGTCCTCCTTGGCCAGCTCGGCCTCTGACTTTTCAGGGTCGATGGACTCGGGCTTCTTGGACGTGGAGGCGATGCGCTTGGTGACGGAGCGCGCCGTCTTGGAGCCCTTGATGGTGAAGTAAGCCCACACAGCTGTGATGAGTCAGTAAGTAAACCGCAATAGGCATGGATGTTTAAGTGAATAAGACTTACCGTTGACTTCAAAAAGCCCAGAAACGGCAATCATCACCAAGTCAATGGCCAGCGAAACAGGAAGCAGCCCAGTCGCGATGATGGCGTCGCGCTGCGCCTTGGACTTTGTCCGCAGCATGGAGTTGACGAATTCCTCCCTCATCGCCTCGGGCGTCATGTTCATCGACGGCGAGTAGACAAAGACAATCTCCTCGACGCCAACCGTCTTTTTCGTCTCGTGAGACGTATGGGCTGGGTCGTCTTCCATGAGCTCGTCTTGCTCGTCCTTGTCGGCCTGCTGCTGCTGCGACTTGAAGTAATCCTCTTCTTCCCTATCGCCATTCTCCTCGGCCAATTTCTCGTTCCTCGTCCTCTCATCGAGATCCTTATCCTCGGAGGACTTCTTCTCCTCATCGTGAAGGAGATTCTCCGCGTCGTCGTCCTTGACATCGGTGCTCTCACGCTTCTTCTCGTCAAGGCTCTTCTTTGTCTCTTTCTCATCCCCCGAAGCGCCCTTGTCCTTCTTGTCCTTCTTCATCCTCCCCTTCAGCGAAAGCTTGCGCGATATCGCCGACGGCGGCCTCGCCGGAGGCGTAACGCGCGCCAGGTAATCCAAATTACTCGTGGTGGTGTACTGCATAGCCTTATCCACCCCGCGCGTACACTTTGCCTTGAATCCCGCCCAGCTGGTCGTCTTTGCGTCGCTCATCTTGGCCTGCCGCACCTCCGTCTGCCACTTGCGCTGCACCTTGTGAGCTACGCCCTCCTTCACGCCCTCAGGCGGCGCCTGAAGAGGCGGAGGTGGGGGCGTGTAGATGAGAAAGCGGGTAGGGATGGCATCAGAGGGCGCTTTGGAGCCCAGCCAGGGCTTGGGGAAGGGTACAAGGTAGGTGATGAGCTTGTGGGGGTCTCGGCTGTAGTGGATTGGGTTTGAAGGGTCGTCGTTGCCAAAGTCGGAGCCTTGGCGCTTTGGGGGCGGCATGATGCCTTCTATGGAGGGTGTCCTTGAGAACGGCGGCGGTTCCTGGCTCTGGGAGAGCAGCTCTGCCACGGCCTTGGGGTGAGGGCGGGCTGGTAAGGGCGGCGGAGGTCCGTTTTCCTCTTCTTCCTGGAGACGCTCCGCGAGGGCGCGGTCCTGGTCCTCGGGCGATGAGAAGGGGTTGGAGGAGAGTGGCCCGTTGGCGTTCCATGCTGGCTGGGTGTGTCGTTGTGGAAGGGGTGGTGACTGGCCTTCTTCCTCTTCCTGAAGTGCAAGGGCCATCGCGTAGTCACGATCTTCTTGCTCTTGGGCTGCCGGATCTCTACCGTAACCGCCGTGCTCTTGAGCATAAAAGTCGGGGACTTCTGACACTGGTCTTGGATTCGGGACCGGCGGCCGGTCTTCAAAATCTGGGAGCGCTTCTGCGACTTTGCCCTTGTCGATCGATGAAGGGCGCCCATTGGCGTTCGAGTGATCGGTGTTGTGGTACAGCACCGTAGGCTCCGGATGCGTCTCAACGGCTTTGCCCTTGTCGAATGAAGAAGGGTACTCAGTTTGAGGGGAGTACGTTGCATCGTAATACCGTTCGGCCTCCGCAGTATCAACTGAGTCTGCATGAGAGAATCCCGTGTCGTGGTGTAATACAGCGGGCTCGGTCATGGGCGACACATGATAATCCTCATCCACCTTAGTTTGAGTCGGCGAATCAAAAGTAGACGCTGTGTGGTGAGTCGAGACCTTGGACTCGTGAGGCGGTGTTGCTGGTCTATGAGTGCTTGGCGGATCGTAAATGTTGTCTTCCTCCTCAACCTCCGGAAGCGCCCCGGCCGCTGCCGCCTGCCTCTCGGCATCCCTATCCCGCCAAGACAGATTCGAGCGCACGCTGTTTGAACGAAGGGTAGAGGGCGTGGCAGGAATGATGTTCACAGCCGGAACCCCGCTCCTCGGTTCGACGGGTGAGTCGTCTTGGGCGTTATCATACCATCGATGCTGAGGTTGCTGCTGTTGCTGCCGCCCAGACTGAGGCTGGCCTTGGCCCGATGGCGATGAGGAAAAGAAGAGCTCTTGCTCCGCAATGGAGCTCGTCGTGTGACGTTCCCTTTCCTGTGTGGTGTCCATCTTTGGTGAGAAGACGATGTTCTCTTTTTTGGCGATGCAGATGCAACGTGTTTCAGAGAAGATCTTTTCTAAGTTTTTGAGAATTCTTAGAGGTTCACACAAGCATGAAGAGAGAAGGAAGAGAGTTCTTTGGGTTCACTTAACAAAATAGGCGCGCATCACTAATCTGTCTCTGAACCTTAATATTGCGCCTCCTTATAAGAAGGAGTCTATATATAAACTAATAATAACCCCCCCTAGTTGAGGTAAGAGTCCCGTATATAATAATAAGTACTTAGATATTAGTAGATCCTAGCTAAATTTAATTAATCGGACTTCGTTTTTTTTTTTTTTTAAAGTACTCGGGCTAGAAATATTTTAAAAATAAATTATAGCTAATTAGGGTACTATTACTTAATTAAGGTCCGCTCTATAAGAAATAATTCCGACCTATACCTTTTTTTTACCCTAACTAAGTCGTATCCCTTTTTTTAAACTTTTACCCTTCGTTACGACTTTTATTATAAATTTTTATTATAAAACTTACTATCGTACTTAAAATTTATTAATAATTAATTAAAAATATTTTTAAATTAATTTTACAATACTTTCTTACTATTACGATAATAATAGTTTTAAGTTTTATATTAATAATAAGAGGGGCCGGTTTTAAAATCTCCTTATATTCGAGACTAATAGTATAAGTTTTATCCTTATTATTATAATTAAATACGCAATTTATTTATTTATTTTTATAATAATAAGGTTAAGTAATCCTATTACTAAGAGAACTTTATTATTATTATTTAGAAATTAATAGCCTTTACCCTAATAGCTACTACTAGTCGTCTTTCGGTACGCTTAAAAAGTACTTTAAAAAGGGTTATTATATTAACTCTACGATTTTTTATAAAAGATCTCTTTTAATTATTATTAATCTCGAGGTTATTTATAAGTTATTTCTTATTTTACGTTAATATTTTTAGTTTTATTAATAGTTTTTTATAGGATATTACGTTAGAATAATATTACTTATAAAAAGCTAAGATACGCCCCTAAATACTTCTTAAAAGCCTAAAGCTATTATAAGTAATAAGGCGTTATTTATTATCCCTTTTAAAGAGGACGGTATTATAAATAAAAATATTTTCAAAATATTTTTAGTTTATAAAATTAACTATTTTTAATAAGACGTCGCTTAGATAAAAATAAACGTTAAGCTCGGCCCCGAGGAGAGCTATAAGGTTTATAAATCGTAGGACGCTATTAGTTATAATAAATATAACTTATTTTTTAATTAACGCTCCTCTTAACTAGATTTTATAACCTATTCTCCCTTTAATAAGTACGAGCTAACTTACTTAGTATTTTATAAATACTATTACCCTAAGCTTACGCTAAATAAGGATATTTTTAGTAAGTTATTTTATTAATATTTATATATTATTATACTTAATATTAATTATTTTTAAAAAATTTTAAAACCTCTAAATAAATAGGCTAGAATAGTAAAGTAGTTAAGAATAAGCTAGTCTAGCCTACTTCTATTAATAATTTTAATAATAATAAAACGGATTCTTAAATAAACCCCGTTATTTTTACTTAGATCTTTATTAAGGATATAGATAGGTAAAAAGTATAATTAAGGGTTAAAGGATAATAAGGAATAATTAGTTTAGGGAAGTCTATAAGTAAAAAGTTTATTAAAATAGAAGTGTTTTACTTACCTCTTTAAAGTAATACTATATAAATTAAGAATACCGTAGTATTATAAATAAATATTCGTAATAAATATATAAATAGAGGTTAAGGCTATAAATACTAAGTAGATAATATATTACTCGTAAATATTTCTTAAAAATTTCCTAAAGATTTCCTAAAAGTTTCCTAAAAATTTCCTAAAAATTTCCTAAAAATTTCCTAAAAGTTTCTTAAGAATTTCTTAAAAATTTCTAAAAAGTTTCTAGAAAATTTCCTAAATATTTCCTTAATATGTTTTAAATATTTCCTTAATATGTCTTAAATACTTTTTAAATATTTTTATCTTTCTAATTTCTATAATATTTAGAAATATAAATTAATTAATAAATAATAAAATAATAAATTATTAACTTATTTTAATAAATTATAAGCTTATTATATAATTAT